TGGAGTAGTCATTAATAAATGAGACAAAATATTTTGCTCCTCCTAGGGATGTAACTGGTGCTTTCCATACGTCAGAGTGAACCAATTCTAGAACACTTTTGCCTCTAGAATTTGACGTGTTAAATTTCAACCGGTGTTGCTTACTTGTTATTCAATACTCACATAAAGTAAGTGATACTTTTGTTAAGCCTGAAAGTAGCTTTTGCTCCACAAGGACTTTCATTCCTTGTTCTGACATGTGTCCAAGTTTCTGATGTCATAACATTGCAAAATCTGAACTACATGAGGCAATAAAGGCTTCTGCTTCTAGCAAAGTCTCTCCCTTTAGCATGTACAAGTTTGTTTCTATCTTTTCACCTTTCAGCACCACAAGCGCTCCACGGAACACCTTCATGATTCATTTCCGTGTTTCAATCTTGCTTGCATTATTATCCAACAATCCGTAGGATAATAAATTTTTCTTCAGGCCTTTCACGTGCACATCTCGAACAACTTTAATTGTTTCATCATACATCTTCAATTTGATGGTTCACACGCCAACGATCTCTAAGGCATGATCATTGCAACTATACACAGATTCTCCTGAGACAGGTTCATAATGATGGAACCATTCTCTTCTTGAGGTCATGTGATATGTTTCTCCCGAATCAATGAGCCATATATCTGCATATCTCTTTCTACTTTCCACGATGGTTGACTCTTCACAACATAGAGCATCTCCTTCATCTGAAGTGTTTGCGGTATTGCCTTGTGGATTGGAGTTTTTATTTAGACTCCAACAATCATTCTTCAAGTGACTATTCTTTCCACAATTGTAGTACTTTAAATTATTTTTGCTCCTCGACTTCGATCTACCATGTTTGTGACTGCTACTTTGGCCACGTTCTGTTGATCTCCCTCTCATCGTTGTCAACGCTTCTGCTTGTTACAGATTTACTTGTCTGTCTTCCTTATTCTTGCGCTGATTTTCTTCTTGTAGAACAGCAGTTGTAACGTCATCGAAGACTAGACTGGTGACATTACTATTTGTCAAGTTGATGATGAGTTGATCATACGAATCAGGTAGACTTTGAAGTAGAAGTTCAACACATTCTTGTTCTCCTATTGTACATCTTAAGGATATAAGCTGATAAAATAACGTGTTCAGTGTGTTTAAGTGCTCCGTCACTGAAGTAGATTCTGGCATCCGGAGAGTGTACAATTTCCTCTTAAGGAAAATTTTATTGTGCAACGATGTGGCCTCGTACAATTTGGTGAGATGATCCCATATCTCCTTAGATGTATTTTTCTCCTCGATGCTTGACAATACTTCATCTGCTAATGCTATATGAAAGTTTGTCATAACATTCCCGTCCATTTCGATCTATTTACTTTCATCTGTGAAATTTACTGGCCTTTCACTGATAGCTGCTAGACACCTGTCTTTCCTTAGAATGACCTTCATCTTCAATTTCCACAATGAGAAATTTCTCCCATTGAATTTTTCAATATCAAATTTCGTTGTCAAAGCTTCTATTACGGATAGCTCTCACTATTTCACTATCGTGAATAGTTCTCTGGAACCTTCAAAGAATGGGTAATACCTTCTTACTTTTTTATGTTGGAGGATCCACCTTTTGGTGGTAACCACAAAGACAATAAGCAGATATTACACACTCTAATCTGGCTCTGATACCAATTATTGCAGAAGACGGTTATCGGATAGAGCAAAATCGTAACTGATAATTTGAGGGGGAAAATGAAGATAAAGAGACACAAAATTTACGTGGAAAACCCCTAAATAATATAGGGTAAAAACCACGGGCAACGGTAGAAGAATTTCACTATGAGAAAATAGGAATTACAACCTCTCTCGATCTACCAAGGACAAAACAATGATAATTTCTCTTGATAAAAGGAGAAAACAACTCTTAAGAAACTCTCTAAATTCTCTCTAGTATTGGAAGAAAGCTAGAATGCTTTAGGATGATTTTGAAGCTAATGAGCTAGGGTATTTATAGTTGAAGCCTAAGGACTAATTTGTAAATACCCTAAAGTACAATGACTAAATTGAATTATCCCATTTATATTTAAACAACAAAATTTCATACACCTTTCGGTGCATTAATTCTTGGATAATAATGTGGCCAACTTGGCCACTTGTTCGCTGGCCGACTTTCCAATAACGAGTATGTTTTTTTCTTTTCCTATTTCGAATTGAATATGAAAAAAAGTTTTGATACTGTTAGTATCATCGATGATGCTTCATCATGAAAACTGACACTCTAAATTTATTAGATGAAAATAGATGGGTTGGTTCAAGTGGTAAAGAGTTTGATATTATTTAAGTAAAGTCTTGGGTTCAAGACTTTTTGTATGCAAAAAACCCCATTGGAAGACTCACTCACCAAAATCAGGTGTACGACGCAGGTCGGTCCAGATTATATGATATTTTAAATTAGGGTAAATTACAAATTTGATAATTGAATTTGAATTTTACTCTCTTTCTCTCCTATTTCACTCACTGTACTTTAAATCTTTTCAATTTTCTCGCTGAACTTAATATATTAGGTTTTTTAATCGCTCGATCGTTAAATAGTTAGCGACGTTAAAATAGACTGTTATATAGATACAAAACGATGTCTTTTTGGCAAAAATTTTGTTTTTTTAAAACAACATCATTTTTAACGCCGTTAACTATTTAACGGCAGAGAAACCAAAATAGGAGAGAGAGTAAAGTTCAGTGACAAAAAAACCAAATGTATTAAATTCAACGAGAAAATTGAAAACTTTAAATTTTAGTGAGAAAAATAGGAAAGAGAATAAAATTCAGTGATGAAATTTGTAATTTACCCTTTAAATTATGATACCATAATTTATTTTATTTTATTTTATTCTATCAATAGTTCACTTGACTTCTCAGAGGACAAAAAGCTTCAACAAGGGTATATATATATATATAAGGAATTAATTGAAAGTGTTTCATATTGGCCAACTCAGAAAATGCGTATTGTATTTTAATATGTAAACCCCGAGAAATTATTTCATAAACCTAACTCACAATGTGTATTATATTTCGAAGTTGAATCTTATGTTATACTCAGAGGCCAGTTTTGAGCATCTTGTGTATGGTGACAATGTGTATATATTGGGATCATATAGCTGGCCTATAATCACAGATGGATCGAAAGGCTTTTAAAATTTAAAATATTTATATAATCTAAGTATTTTATTTTATATTTTATATCCTTTCTAAGAATAAAATCATGTGTATATTCTTATGTATAACATAAGAGAAGCTTTCCCGAAAGACTTAAATGCTGAGAGGAAGGCATAGATGTAATTCCAAAGAGATTTCCGTTAGAAAATAAAAAGGGTAAATTACGCCAATGGTCACTAATGTTTGGATTAGTGTTCGATTTCACCACTGATGTTTCAAAAGTCGTAAACCGGTCACTAACATTATCGTATGTTACAAACAAAAAAATAACATTTTTAATCATTTTTCCCATAATTTCGGTAATCATAGAAGCTCCTCCCACAATTTTCGTTTGCCCAAGTCGTGACAACCTTAGTTGGTTGTCCACAATTGCAAATCGAAACATCAATAGAGTCTTCCATTTTCACCTAAGCTAGGTTTTCTTTTAGGGATTTTGTGAGAAATTTTAAACAGGGGAAGTAATCAGGCAAATGTCAAAAATTAGGGTTAAGGTTTGGGTATTGATTTAAAGGGGAAGAGTTTATCGTTGGAGCCATTTCACTATCCACCGTGACAGTCCAAGTCAGCATATAACGATCCAGCTGTGATTTTCATTACGCCTATAAAAGAATGTTAACGTGGAGTGACCTATTTGTAACAAACGATAATGTTAGTGATCGATTTGTGACTTATGAAACATTAGTGGTGAAAATGAACACTAACCCAAACATTAGTGACCATTGGTGTAGTTTACCCAAAACAAAATAGGCAAATGAGTGAATGGTAAAACCATTAATAAGCAAGAAGTCACTTCCTGTTCTACATATGGTGGATCAGCACTGAATGGTCCATGTTATTGTCTTGACCGATTGATAATTATTTCCCATAATTCCCCAATCCATCAAAGCCCGACAGTTGTGAACATTTATTGGATAGTACCCACATATTTGTGCCTGCTCAAAGTGACATTGAGTCATGCCCACAACTCCACTTCATTGAAAATCTATTTACCAAAGTACACGTAGATAAGCACGTGAAAGCTAAGATTCAACTTCAACCAACTTTTCTGTTATTGGAGGAACATTTAACACATAATTAAAAACAACAAGATCCCACTTTTGTTTTGTCCATTTTCCTCTTATCATCATAACAGCAATGATTCTGCAAAAGAATCCAACTGCACTTGATCTTCGTTTGTCTTCAGAAGCTGCAGATACTCATCGTAAAGCTTGTCGAGAGAATTAGATTCAGCTTCGGTGCAAGGTACTCCATGATGATGATGGGACTGACACTCGAAATCTGAAGTGTTGAGAAAATCACGATCATCGTTGTTATTATAATAACCGGATAAAAACCCGATCCCATTCTCGTCGTCAATGACATATTCGGTCCAAGGGATTTGCAGTACCTCTCCTCCTCCTTGGACATGACACGGTGCTGAACGTGTTGGCACACTGAACCGAAGCCGTGACTCGAATGGGTTTCGGGAGATGGATTTTGGGTTTTTCTGGCTCGGCTGGTTTCTTGGTTTTGTTGCTGTTGGAGCTGCTCTTTCTTCTCTTCCTCACTGCTTGAACCATGACCGGGCCCAGTAGTTTCTTGTGGGTGTTGGGATCGGTCCCTTGGGTTAAAAGACGTTTGCTGAGATGGGTGTTCCAGTAGTTTTTAATCTCGTTATCGGTTCGACCAGGGAGTCGGCCGGCGATGAGAGACCAGCGGTTGCCGAGAAGCGAATGTAATCTGATGATAAGATCATCTTCGTCGGGCGTTATATTCCCTCTCTTTATATCTGGTCTTAGATAGTTCATCCATCTCAGCCTGCAACTCTTTCCACACCTAAGCAGCCCTGCAAATCAAATACCAGAAATCACAATCAAACTCGATCATACGAATCACTGAGTAACGAACTCAACTCAAAAGAACTCGTCGCCATGAAAATTTTTGTACCTGCTTTCTTAGGGAGGGATCTCCAGTGACCTTCACCGTGAGCTTGAATGTACTTGACAAGCAATGTGTCTTCTCTAGGAGTCCATGGACCTCTATGCAACCCTATTTTAGAACAACAAGGAGCTCTTCCCATCTCTCTGTTCCTTTTTTCTTCTTCTTTGGATCCGCTTACTGATCAAACATTAAAACAGACGAGAGAAGACAGAGAGAGATGTGTTAGGGACGATGCTCTAAGGAGCACGACTCCCAAAGCTTTGGTTTAAGCCTTTTAAATCTGTTATTTCAAAAAAAAAAAAACCTTTTAAATATGTTCTTTAAAAAAAAGCCTTTTAAAACTGTTAAAACCACACCAATATTTATACTTCCAATTTTTATATTTTAACAGCTCCAGTTTTTTTAACTTACCTTAGTAAAATTATTATTTTAGCCCCTGAAGTTAAAAACCACTAGATAACAACATGGTAATATGTTCTTTCGGCCCACCTAGTTTTATAAAAGTTAATTTTGATCCCGAAATTGAAATGTTTTCAGTTAATAAAATGGTACACTTAAGCTTTGTCTCCCTTAAAATTTTTGTAAATCAACCTCAGCCTTTCAGTTAAAAAGGCCGAGGACTTGCTGAATACTTTTACCACTTAGTAATGCCCACGGTGGCATGTAAATCTTCCCAATCAAAATCAACATTATAGAACTTTTTTGGGTTAATTTTAATTATATTTTTGGTTAAATTATGTATTTAGTACCTAAACTATCAGTTTTAATTTGTTTTAGTACATAACTTTCAATTTTTTCAAAATCATACCTAAAGTTTAATTTTTATTTCATTTTAGTACACCATTCAATATTTAACGTTAAGTTTTGAAATTTTTTGAAAGTTTAAGTACTAAAACTGATAGTTATATACTAAAAGCGACAAGTTTTTAACGGCAGGGTATTAAAATGAAATAAAAACTAAATGTTGGGTATAGTTTTGAAAAATTTAAAAATTTAGATACTAAAACGAACTAAAACTGATAATTAGATACTAAATTCGTAATTTACCTCATATTTTTTACAGGTAAGTTTTATCTCAACGTCCTTTCCCCCTATCTGCCCTTCCCAATCCTCAAATTGGTATTTAAATTTAATATTTTTTTAAAATTGGTACTTAATCTTTCTATCTCAAATTGAATTATAATGTGTGGTATTTAATGATATGATCATTTTGATGGATCAATATCATGTTAATAACTTAATTGGTGGTTGAAATATTAAATTTATCTATACAATAATTTGATAAAAAAAACTATTAAGTTTAAAATAAAAATAAATATTAACTTATATAATAAATATAATAATATCATTGATGAACGTGGCGGTTTCATTATAAATACCGAGGAAGCTAACGTTACCAAGGCTGCTGATTCGTTACGGCCACCCTTAAGTACAAGGATAAATATACAAAGATTTTCAAGTATTTAAATTATAAATATTGATCTATTTTAGTACTTAAATTTTAATTTTTTTTAAATCATACTTAAAGTTTAATTTTTGTTTCATTTTATACTCGTCGCTAAAATTTTTTTTTTGTTTCATTTTAGAAGGACATAACTTCCTTAGGGCCCAAGGGGACCCCGACTCCTGTTAAAATTTATATATTCGATATAATTTTAGTTTAATAGTATTTTGGTTCATGTAAAAAATATTTAAATTTATTAAATATTTAATCAAGTAGGGGTCGAACTAAAGTATGATAAGTCTGTGTTCTCAAATTTTTGGTCTAATTACAATTTAAGTCATTGTAAGTTTAAATATTAGACAAATTAGAAGTTGTCTTTTGAGTTTTTTATTTTATTTTGGGTAAATACAAGGTAATATATGTACAAAGATTTTCAACTATTTGGCAATGAACGCTTATGCCCCTACATACGTGCTTAAACTCGGGACATCAATGATAACAACAATCCCTTAATCACTAAGGTCGCTTGGTTCATGCTGAATTTTGAGTTTAAATACATAATAAGTCTTTATATTTTTCTTAAATAGTCTACTCTTTCGCCCCCTGCCAATATTTAATTATGGCTTCGTCCATGTTTTTTAACACTGTTCAAAATTTAACGTTAAATTTTGATTTTTTAAAAATTTAGGTACTAAAACGGACCAAAATCGATAGTTTAAGTTCTAAACGCATTAAATTTTTTAATGGATGAGTTCTAAAATGAAATGAAACTAAACGTTATGTATGATTTAAAAAAAGTTAAAAGTTTAGATACTTGTTTATCCCAAGTAGAAACTAAATTTCAAACAGGCGTTTGATATCATAAATGTACACCAACATTGCTAGTTCTTGAATTGGATGGAATTCAATTTAAAAATATTATCTAATATTTGGTATGTCACATTATATAAACCATGTCAATTAATTTTTCACTTTTTACTACTCCTTTATGCATGGTATTAAAATATTTGAACTTAATTTGATTAATAACTTTAGGTAAAAGTGTAGTTTTAATCCCTGTAATAGATTTAATTTATCACTTTCGTCCCTATTATATTTCATATCAATTTAACCCTCAAAATTACTTAATTGCATCATTTTATACCATATCTCTAACTTAAAATCCTAAACCCTAAACTATAACTTGATATTTATAGTTTAAGATTTTAAGTTAGGGGTAAGGTATAGAATGGTGCAATTAAACAAAAGTCAAAGTCCATTCGGTGGGTAGACAGCTAATTTTGTTGAAGCACCGAATGGTAGACAGTTGATTTTTATTGAAATTGGGTAAGGGAAAATTACCAAATTTAGTCTCTGTAATTTAGGGTATTTACAAGATTACTCTTTAAGCTTCAACTATAAATACTCTAACCCATTTAGCTTCAAAATCATCCCAAATCATTATAGTTTTCTCCCAATACTAGAGAATTTAGAAAGTTATCTTGAGAGTTGTTTTCTCTTTTTTTTATCAAGAGAAAATTGTTATTGTTTTCTTCTTGTTAGATCGAGAGAAATTGTAATTACTATTTTCTCATAGTGAAATTATTCTATCTTTGCCCGTGGTTTTTACCCTATATTATTTAGGGGTTTTCACGTAAAATTTGTGTCTTCTTTATCTTCATTTTTATTTTCTCAAATTATCAGTTGCGATTTTGCTCTATCCGACAGTCGTATTCCACAATACCCTAAATCCTAAACTCTAACTTGATGTTTATAGTTTAGGGTTTTAAGTTAGGGGTAGAGTATAGAATGATGCAATTAAACAACTTTGAGAGCTAAATGGATGCGAAAATACGATAGGGGCGAAAATGATAAATTGAGTCCACTACAAGGACAAATGTGACCCTTAAGCCATAACTTTAATAGACAACGATGAATTTATTTTATTCGAACGAGGTTCGATTTTTGTTATCTATTAATAATGGATTTAGTGTTCAATGAAGTGCTCGTGCTCGCAATACAATAGCTCATAATTTAGATTTATGGGCTTTTCGCTCTAATAATCCTATGTATTTTAACTCAGTTTATCTCGAAATTATTCGAACCGATGTATTGAATGATTATTTTCATTAATAATTGAATATGGCGGGTACTCTTTTCTCTTATAAGATTTAGAAAATGTTTTTAATGATGCCCTTTTTTTAAAAAGAATTTATTTTTTTAAAATAAATTGATTAATTTGTGAACACATACGTCGGATTTACCTCTTTTAACCCAAAGTATTCGCACCATATTCCTAGCATTTTATGTCGATCCAATAGTCAACTTTCTCGCAATCACATTTCACTACAGTGAAAGGGGTGCCATATCAATGGAGACATGATAATCAAAGCTTGAGGTGATGATTCGCATTTTTTTGAATTAATCACTGGTATCCGATCTATTGACCGACTAATCTAGTTCTGGTATTGCAGAGGCGAGGTCGACCCTTCCAACCTAATTTACTCCATTCGCAAACGTCAGGATTCGAACCTCTGACCTCGCTTAAGAGACCTAGTGCCTCATCTCACTAGAACAACTGGTTGTTCGTAGGTGGTCCACATTTTAATTCAACGAATGAAGTTAAAACCACACTTATCACCTAATCCATGTTTATGTATAAATTATTGCTGTTCTTTATTTAATTCTGATTTTGTATGCTTTTTAACTTTTCATTTGGTCTACGCGACTAGTGGAATCTTTTTCCTTCGTATGGGAAATTCCAGCAAGAAAATCGCCACTCATTCACGAGAGAAAAAGAAAGTTTCCCCATTCAAACAAATAATTAGATTCTTATGGACACTAATGGCACTTAATTACACCAAGGGCTGAGAGGACAGTCAAGAATTTGTTGAAGTAATTAGAATTAAATTAATGGAACCACAAACTGAGGGAAACAATGGGGACCATTTATTAATTAAGGGTTCGAGACTAGATTTAACTTATCACCCCTTTTAGGTGTTCCACCCAATATCATGGTCCCGAGGTCCGGTACTTAATAAGTCTTGATTATACATAGGGTTGTGTTAAGGGAAAAAGTCCATCGATTTAGAAAACAAATCTAATATGACCCTTTAACCAATATTTTTCGTTATTGATCGTTACAGTATTGACGTATCAATTCACGGTACTAATGTGGTTGTCCATTTGTCATGTTTAAGTTATCGATTTAGTCAATTTACCATGTCATCCGTCACGTTAATCTGCCACCGTTGACTGCCATCTCAACACCATAGATTGTCATGTCAGCACCGTGAACTGCAACATCAGTACTATAACGATTAACGACGAAAAAACGTTGGTCAAATGGCTACATTGAGTTTATTTTTTGAGTTGGAGAGTCACATTAGATTTGTTTTCTGAGTTAGAAGGTCACATGGAGAAAAATAATAATACAATTGTCACATTGAGTTTTTTTCAAAAGTACATAAACCTCTAATGCATTTTTACCAAATTAGAATTATAAAATAAAATCGATTGAATATTAAAAAATGTAAAAATATATGTTTAAATCGTTAAAAATTATAAAATGATGTATATAAAACATGAAAAATGGAAGAAAAAAATTCGTTATATGTTTTTAATTGATTTAATTTGAAAAGAAAAACCTTAAAAGTTCACCGGCTAAAAGAGACGATAACATTTGAAGGACTGAAATGATTATTTTTTAAAATTTAAAGGTAAAAAATAGGATTAGGACAAAGAAGTTGGTAGATGTGGTTAGTATATGGACAGCGATGTGCATGCAATCCTTTTGGTTTTGGAGGACAACCAAGCAAGGCTTGTGAGTGTTTTCAAACCTAAGTTTACATCTCGATGTTCAATTAGATTCTCGACGTTAATAATCACTTTTTAAACATAAATCTTTAATTAAAAATAATTTATTTAAAAATATTTTACGTTTCAAACGAGATTTTAAACAAAAAAAAATATTTTCAAAGGTATCTACAAATGACTCTTAAATATCAATGACTGCTTGCTGTCACAGATGAATCAAGAGGAGTAAGTAGGGGTAATTGTCACTTAAAAATTTAAGATTTTTTTTATTAAAAATTTATTTTCGTCTTATTAGAACTTTAAAATTTCAAATTTATTCTTCTAAATTTAAATTATTCCCTTAACATAAAATTATATGTCGGTCGTTACATTAGATGAGGCTCATTGCGATCGTTAATTCTTTCCGTTCTGTCTTAAACCTTCGTCTACCCTTATTTGTTGGTCCATTGAGGATAACTGATTAGGTATGAGTGCCCTTGTACTAGAAGCTGCCAGAAATTACCACTGTCTACCAATAATTCCTGCTCTGCATAACTAGCCGACTCAATTAATTACTATAATTTGATATTCGTATAATTACGACTCAATAAATAATATTTTAATGATGTTAATATTAAATTATTAATTAATAAATTATATTGAATATAAAATTTAAATTATATTTACTTTAAATAATTAAAATAAACTATTAAGTAATAAATTATTTTTAAGAATGTTAATATTAAATTATTAAAATAAAATATAATTACATAATTGAGTTGAGCTTATACATTAATAAAGTAAAATTATAATTTGTTCCTAAACGCAAAGTTAAAAATGAAAAAACTACAAATCATAACTTTGACGGTTAGTTTGAAACCACCGTTTCCACCATAATATCTTTTTTATATTCTGTACCCGTTTAACATTAATTTTACGGTCAAAATAGACTTTTTCAAATAAAAGTACTTTTGATAAACCACGTCAAACAGAACCTTATTAAATTTGTGTTTAATTAAGTGAATTTTAAAGATATTTTGATAAAATCTACACTTATAGCGGTAGAAGACAATAAAACAGATTATTAAAGTTTAATAATTTATTTACGTTAACAAAATAAAATTTCATTAATCATTAAATTATATTTTTCTGTTAAAATAATTTTAGTGTCGCGTAATATATTTTCTAATTAATTAATGGTCTACAACAAATTATATTAGTTAAAAGGAGTACATTACCATAAAGTCTAAAATAAAATACATAATATTTTCTTAATTAATTTGAATAAGTATATGACAATATCTGTTTATAGATAATTCTGTACTTTTTAATATTAAACGCTCAAACCTCTGATATTACTAGTGTTCGAACATGAGACATTATTAACCCTTTGCATATAAAATTTGCTACATGTTTGAATCTTGACTCAAGGGATAAACAATTAGAGAATTGGTGCTATGAATTATAATCATAATGTTCTCAGTTTTATTGTATTGTATGGGGCCTGTCATCATTGCGTTGAGGCCCAACTCCTCCCTCACAATATCATTACCATACATTCAAAGATATTAAATTTTAAGGGTAAACTTCTTGTTTAGTACTTAAACTATTAGTTTTGATCTGTTTCAATACTTAAACTTTTAATTTTTTTAAAACCCATACCTAAAGTTTAGTTTCTTTTTCATTTTAGTACCCCGTTCAAAATTTAACGTTAAGTTTTGAATTTATTTTTAAAAGTTTATGTATTAAAACGAACCAAAACTGATAGTTTAGATACTAAACACGTTAAGTTTTTAACGGAAGAGTACTAAAATGAAATAAAAATCAAACGTTTGGTATGATCTTGAAAATATTGAAAATTTAAGTACTAGATATGTAGTTTATCCAAAATTTAATGTTTTTTAAGTAATATAACGAGAACTCATCAAACGATTTTGGTAGTAAAAAAGTATTTCTTTTATTTAAATCCTCCCTCACAATATCATTATCATACATTGAAAGAAGAAGATGTTAAAAATTTAAGGAAATTACATATTTAGTGCCTAGACTTTCAATTTTTTTAAAACAATACCTAAAGTTTAGCTTCTGTTTCATTTTAGTACCCCTTTCAAAATTTAACATTAAGTTTTGAAAAAATTGAAAGTTTAGGTACTAAAACAAACCAAAATTGATACTTTGAGTACCAAACGTGTTAAGTTTTTAATGGTGGGGTACTAAAATGAAATAAAAACTAAACGTTAGGTATGATCTTGAAAAAAATTGAAAGTATAAATACTAAAATGGATAAAAAGCTGATAATTTAGATATTAATTATGTAGTTTACCTAAAATTTAATGTTTTTTAAGTAAGGTGACGAGAACTCATCAAACGATCGATTTTAGTAGTAAAAAAGTATTATTTTATTTAAAATTTTTGGATTCGAGAGCAGATGTATCTGCGGGATGTGTACGTTATCAATGCCTAAAAAAATTATGAACAAATACTTTATTATAATAATTTCAAACATTACAAAAAAAAGGTAAGATAACAAGATTAAATATTTGGATAAAATGTTATTTTTTATAAAATAATAAATAATAATTTCATACACATTTATCTAAACCTTTTTTCTCATGAACAAAAGAAAATAATTAAGCTTTACCAATCAAAGTTGCTTTGCTTTTACCTATGAATTGATTGTGGACCGTGCGCTCAAATTTGAACTTTTCTAGGAGACATAGAAAGGCTTCTTGTGTGTATAAAGAAGAACACTTCTTTCCCCTCCAATTGAATCACATTCATCATTTTGTTCTTAGAAAACACTAAATGAATTTTCAAAGACAAAGATTTGGGTATGTTGATGTTTTTTTAAATGTAATAAAAAAATTTATGTACTTGAGGTTCATATTCGATTTCGAGTTTGAATTTCAACCGAATTAAATCAAATTCAACTTTAAACTTAGAAAATTAAATTGAACTAAATAATATTCGAGCACAACTCGTCTTATTTACAACCTAGATTCACTAGTGGTATCAAAGCATAAAGTACAAGTAATGTGAATGAAGGGACGAAAATGCAAGAGTTTAGGGTTATAAATTTTGAGTTACATTAACGTTCAAAATCAATTTTTTAATCACCGAAGTAGATTAATTCATATAATATTATCTTAATTGTATACTTATAATTGTACAATCTATATTTTAAATGAATCCATGGTGTATATGAGTGTACAAAAAAAGAAGTATACGATTAAGAAGAAGAAAGGTTGACTGGCAAATGGATGAATCATAGATAACTTTAACAGCAAGCAAGCAAACACTTCGACACAATGTACAAAAGATAATTCATATGGTCGACCCGATAAAGATGATCTTATTCGTTTTTATCTCTATATAATCCGATGACCTGATAAAGAGTTTTCACATTTACCAGGTCAAAAAGGAGAAATCCCACAAGCCCACCACAGTGCACACTCATAATTCCACCCACATCCGAATAAAATATGCAATTGTGCATATCAGTCCCTTTTAAAATATAAAACCAAAGCAGCCTGAAATTCCTTATTATAGAATAAGACTAATGTCCATACTATTTCTTTTATATTATATAATGCGTAGTCAAAACAAACCAACCCTCTTTTTCTTTTTCCCATCATTCAGAAAGTGAAAGCCAACACAAAGCTACCATGGAAGCAGTCTGAAAACATTCTTTCTTGCTCTAAAAGAGATCATCGCTTGCAGTTGCAGACAAACAAAGGAGGTTTTAACTCTCTCTCTCTCTCTCTCTCTGTGAAGTCATCAGGGTTTCTTTTCTTTTTTTTTCCTTTTTTTCCTTCTGGAATCGATGGATGCTGATAAATGGTCACAGCAGGTAGGTGGATTTGTTGTTGTTGTAGTTGTTATTATTGCTGATGATTTTTTGTTGTTGTTGCTGGTGAAATGATTGTTCTTTTTTTAGGGTTTTCAGGGTATGAATGGCATGGTAAAGCCAATGGAAGAGATGGTGGCCAACACAAAGGGAGGGCCGGTTCTAGAGAGGAAAACAAAGCCACCGGAGCAGTTGAATTGCCCTAGATGCAACTCGACGAACACCAAGTTTTGTTACTACAACAATTACAGCCTCACTCAGCCAAGATACTTCTGCAAGACTTGCCGGAGGTACTGGACCGAGGGTGGATCTTTAAGGAATGTGCCAGTCGGTGGTGGTTCCAGGAAGAACAAAAGATCGACGTCGATATCGACCTCAATATCGACATCGTCTTCAGCTTCTGCCAAAGTCCCGGATCTAAGCTCGACGAGCTTCCCGTCTCAAAACCCTAAGGCACCACCCCACAAAGGCCAGGACCTTAACCTGGTTTTCTCGGCTAACCAAGAGATTCATCATGGTTTGAGCTTATCCCATTATAACGACCAGCAAAACTACTACTCGACTTCGGCTATGGAGCTCCTTAGGGCTGGGATGGTATCATCAAAGGGGTTGAATTCTTTCGCTCAAACACCGACCCAAGATTCGACTGCGCTTTACTCGACTGGGTTCCCCATGCAAGACTATAAACCGACACTCAGTTTTCCGATCGATGGAGCTGGAAATAGGGCTGGTGTGGTCCATGGAGGTCAAGAAAATAATGGTGGAAGGGTTTTCCTCCCTTTTGGAGAATTAAAACCGATTTCGAGTACTAACGGAGTTGAAGATCAAAACAAGGAACGAAGCAATTCAGCTGGATATTGGAATCATAATGGAGTGTTAGGTGGAGGATCATGGTAAAAGAGATGATGACGATGATGATGAAGAAGGATCAAGGAACTGCTTCTTCCTTTATTCTTTTTTTTCCCTTTCACATGGTTGATTTGATTGTTAGTTGTTAAAAGTTGTTTAGAACTAACAGATCATCATCATAGGATGATGCATATATATTGATGGGGTTTCTTCATTTGCTTTTGAATCTCCCCTTTCTCCTCTGAAAATCTGTCAGAGAAAAATGTGAGTTGTTTCCATGGATTCTTCTATCTTTAAGTCTCTAATTGTTGCAGCGATGAACGAGTGTGTTAAACGAATATAAACATGTTAAACCAACATATTTACGAATATTAAATAAAAATATTCATCCAAACTTATTCATTCAAGCTCGATTCATTCACGTCAATGATGCCCGGCAGCATATGGAATTTGATGGATAGTTTTGGTTCTTTCAAAATAAAAAAGAAGAAACGGGTTTACCTGCTCCAACTATAAACCTCGCCTAATATATAAAAGCCATTGCAATGGCGGGTCTTAGCTCAAACATTTTAAGCACCGGGTGGGTTTGAAACACAAGACAAAAGTGCTACCCCACCCTTAATTTGGTACACAAACATTCCATCCTCACAAGTCAATCCCCTTGTTCCTTTTGTATTCTTGCATTTGTCTTAACCGAAATCTCTGTTTATAACTTAGCCAAATTTGAATTGAAAAACGAGTCAACTTTTTATAAAGGAAAGAGTCAAAGTTCCAATGATATCGGGTGTAGGATTAAAATATACTATCTAACCCAAATAACCATAATACATACACGAATCAAGTGATAGAAGAATTGTTTTATTTCTTGAAAATTCAAGTTCGAGCACCATAAATATCAAGAGCACGAACCTTTGATATCAAAAGATTAAGGACTATCTTTAAATAAATATTGATATTAACTTCTAATTACTCAAATTAATTAATAAAAACTATTCATACATTGATATAGATGCGTTAAGACTAGCCGTTAAAGCAGCCAAGTGTTGTGATCCCAAGAACCAGGGGATAAATGGAGAGATTTTGATAGTTTTACTTCTCCGTACAATCCTGTGACAGTATAGTTTTTTGGGTAAATTATATGTTTAGTACCTAAATTATCTATTTTGGTTATTTTAATATCTAAACTTTCAATTTTTTTAAAATCATATCTAAAGTTCAGTTTTTGTTTCATTTTAGTATCCTCATTTAAAATTTAACATTAAATTTTGAAACAATTAAAAATTTAAGTACAAAAACTGATAGTTTAAGTACTAAATGCGTTAAGTTTTTAATGGCGGGTACTAAAATGAAATGAAATCTAAAGTTAGGTATGGTCTTGAAAAAATTGAAAGTTTAAAATACTAAAAGAGATCAAAATTGATAGTTTAGATATTAAATGCGTAGTTTACCCTTTTTAAAACTAGAAATGTGATATACCATATATGCAGTATTGAGCATACATTACATTTCTCTACTGTACAAAGATCAACTTCATACACTCATTATTATTCCTTAATGATCTAAGGAAGCTTGTGGGTGCAGACACCAAATTCACCAGGAAAAAGAAAAGAAGACCAAATCTTCAAAATGTCCTACACAAAGATGTATGTATCTCTATTTTAACAGAGGCGAAGGAGCTGTATGGCTTTATATCCGGCAAGACCGAGTATTCTAAACCGGGGAGGGGGGGGGGCTGAGTCACTTATCTGCATTGATTCCGAATATCCGGACCTTGTGCATGTTGGGGAACTTTGCAACGACGAGCACGAACACTGCTAGTGTGTTCAGGAAGAGCATAGGATGTTGGTAGTCTGTTGTATGGGAGGCGATCAGGTATCTGTCACAGAAACGACAAAGAAAACGAAGAACACGGAAATTAAAAGCCCAACTCAGCAAGTGAAAACATCACGAATTAAGCATAAACTCGTGCCATGGAGGTTTTAAAAAATTAACAAGGGCTTCGGGATGAAAAGTTGTTGCTGTTAAGTGTTATCTATCAAAATATTCTCTGGTTGTTAATCAGACTTCTCGAACGAGACTATGAATATCAGCACAGAGTAGAATATTTCTCCAAACGATATACGGAAAGTTACTATTGATCTAAGTGTCAAGAGCTAATATAGTAAAAACAAACAATTGAGATCAATGCATCAAATTGATCTTTTATAATAAAAACACACAATATGCTGTATCATGATCTGATCGATAACTATTAGTAAACTGGCCAAAGAGTACATGGCTAACTGTTTGCAAATACACATACTTGCTATTTGTCAAAAGCAAGACAGCATGAATAAACATTAGATCAATGAGATGAGACTTTATAGCAAATATTGCAGAAGAATAGCTATGAATAGAACCCGGTCATGATACTCCCCACACGAATGCGCCGTCTATGATGGGCGGTTATCCGTATTTACTGATTGTTTCCCTAGCCATCCATATTGTTCATTACCCCAATTAAGGAAACACAATAAAAGGCCGAATCATCGAACATTCAATGCTCGAGAAAGAACATTCGCATGCATACCGACATAAATACAGAGATACCGCACAAAATAATAGGAAACATCATCAACAAGATACAGAAGAACAGTAGAACATAATGTAACAGACTTACAGCACAACTGGCGCAATAGTTAAGAACGTCCTGTTGCGTGATAGCTGCTTCCCGTCGTCTATCTGCTCCCACCAAGTCAAGTTATTGTAAATCCCTTGATCATCGGCAAACGGGGTTCCCTTCTTCCAGTGAAAGAGGTGGTACGTGACCTGGAAATGGACAATCTTTACATTAGAAAGAAGCATAAGATCTGCCAGTTGAAAAACCTTAACATGATTCACATTAGAAAATCCCCTGATTTCCTTATTCCCTCTTCCCCATCAGTAAACCCAATTGAACACCACACAAAGCAACTTTCAACAAGCCTAAAATTCAAGAACATGGAAAGGATAATTTGCAGGCATAGCAAGAAACCCAACTGAGCATTGAATACTATGAGATAATTGGAAGAGAGAAAAGAATGAAACGTACGAGGAAATGGGCGAGATTAGCCAGGAGAAGAAGAGGAATAGAATATAGGTAGTCTATACTCCGGGATACATGAACCAGTCGGTGTTCCGATTGAGATTCGCCGGTGGCACAACTTTCACGTCAAGATTCGCCATTTACTTTCAATGACCCACCAAATACCCAGACGACCCAATTCTTTGATTTGATCGAATTATATACAAGGTTTCAGAGTCTTTGCGTGCTGGAATGAAGAGGAGAAGAAAAGAATGATAGGAAATTAATGGAAAGTCATTGAAATTTATTCTCTTTTATTTTAATTCGTTCAATTTTTTCACTTAACTTAATACATTTGATTTTTTTGTATCTTGTCATTAAATAATTGATGCCATTAAAACGACACCATTTTAAAAAAATAAAATTTTCACCAAAAATCGTTTCGCATCTATATAATAGCCAATTTATAACGTTATTAGTGAAAAAAAGGCAAAATGACAAAAAAATCAAATATATTAAGTTTAGTAAAGAAGTTGAACTGATTTAAAGTATAATGAGTGAAATAAGAGAGAGAATAAAGTTTAGTGATGATTAGTGTAATTTACCGTGTTTTTATTAAAATTATCCAAAGCGGATAATTATTACAACAGCCACTTACCAACAAAATCAACTCATTTCTGTCGTGAACGAAATTTTACTTTAGCGGACTTGTACGGCTCCGTTTCGTTTCGTTTAACTTTTGCTTTATTTTTGGAAATTTGCTTTAAGTAATAAACTTGTAATATATATTGGGTAAACTATTATTTTTCACTCAAATTTCTCTTTATTTCTGTTTCGATTATTTAACTTTAAAAGCTATTGATTTCATCACTTAGTTTTGAACTTTATTTTTATTACTCAAGCGTTAAAAATATTTCAATTTTACGACAATCTGATCCTGAAAATTGCAAATCAAATTAAGATAACATTGAAACTTCTATGAGTTTCGTCGATTTTGAAAATATTTCGTGAACAATCAAATTGAAAAGAAGAAAGAGATGAAAATGGAGAATATTTTGTTACCAATTACGTTATAAATGATTATTGACAATAATCGAACGATGAAAAAAAGATATCGACCATAGAAAAATGATAGATGAAATATTAGATGAATTTAATGAATAAAACTAGAAGGAAAAAAAAGAAACAAACTATTGTTGCCATTATAGAACTAATTGGATGAAAAAAAATCCAAAATTCAATGATAAAATCAATTATTTTAAAGTTGGATGACTAAAATAGAAATATGATAAAAATTTAATGAAGAAATATTCAATTTAACATTTTTATCATTTCATAGGTGATTCAATTGAATTTATATCTATTTTGAGTGCTTTATAATAATTGCACTTCTTTCAAAGAGTAGAAGCAATTAATAAAAGTTACTTTATCTCAAAGCAAAAGTATAAAAAATAGGGTAAATCACATATTTAGTACCTAAGCCATTAATTTTAAACCATTTTAGTACCTAAACTTTTATTTGTTTTAAAATAATACCTAAATTTTATTTTTATTTCATTTTAGTACCCATGTTCAAAATTTAACATTAAATTTAAAAAATAAAATAAAAGTTAGAGTACTAAAACGAACCAAAACTGATAGTTAAGGTACTAAACGCTTTAAGTTTTTAATGGTGGAGTACTAAAACGAAATAAAAACTAAATTTTAGATATAATTTTTTAAAAATTGAAAGTTTAGATACTAAAGCGATCAAAACTGATAGTTTAGGTACTAAATGCATAATTCACCCAAAAAAATATTATAGCTTTATCCAAAACTCAACCAAAGATTTCCATACTTCAGCTGCAGCACAATCGCAAGGTTGCTGCACCTAGCGCTGCAGCTAGCCGTTGGTATGATCGCCTACAGATGAAGCCATGCCACCACGGAGCCAAAAAGCACTTTGGTATCGGCCCGACCCTCGTCAGAGTGGAACCAATGCTGAAGAACACGACCACCAGCTATCGGAGATGAAGGCACCAAGAATCCTTCTAAATCTAGAGAGGAAAGAGAAGCCAAACATCCAACTCAAGTGGACCTCATCGGTATCGGTCCTTATTTCACAAATGTAAAAGAATAGTACTTCATAATACTATACAACAATGAACTATCCTCAACCTTAATTGATACTATAAACTCTATTGTCTATGATTCGTAGACGCTCCAATTGTAGATTACTGAATCAAATTCTGGGGTTTTCCCCAACAAGCTTCTTAATTCGTTGGCGCATGTGGCATTTTTGGCAAGTAATAATGCAAATCCCCCTCCACCTGCTCCCACAAGCTTGTAGCCTGAGCAGTAGGGGTCGGCGAATGCAAACAGTTTATCGACGTATTCGTTGCTGCAGTAAGGATCGAGTTCTTGATGTAACCTCCAAGCCTCCGACATGATCTCCCCTAGTTTATTGACGTCACAGTTCATCAAAGCTTCCCTCCCGATCTTGGCTAATTCACTGAGCCGCTTGATGCTGGATATGAGAAGGTTGTCCCGTTGAAGATACCGAAGGACTACCTTTTGTAGGACTTGATGTGCTAATCGAACCTTCACGATTATAATAAAATAAAATGATCTTCAGGTTGACAACGAAAACATTTACAAGGGAGACGAAACTGTGAGGTAGGATTAATTACTTACTTGACCGGTAAACACCACAAGCAACCGCTGCTGCAATTCCAAAATCAATTGAGGGGATGGCACAAGAGGGAAGACTTGGAGTCGCAATGGTATTCCAGGGTAACTCGTAGTGAATTTGATTCCGGGATATAAACCCCCTATCTGATCCTGCCAGCCACCGCCTGTCCCCATGAGCTGTTCTAGTACCAAAACGAGTCTGGCAACATTTTCGTTGCTATCATCACCGCTGATGATTTGGAGAAGTCCTTTCACAACAGCGGCTGCTAAGATGCTAGATGTTCCCAAACCACTGCCCCGAGGTACGTTAGCCCATGTCCTTATTTTCAAGCCATTCGATACTAGAATGTTTTCACGAATAATTCCAGTCACCAGCAGAGCAGATTTCACAAGCCTAAAAGGATCATTTTCATCAAAGGGAGGAGTGATTGAAGTAAGCTCTTTAATATGTAACTCATTTCCAGAATCATCAGTAATCAAGACTCCGCTCGAATTTGTTGTTTCTAAGACAGTGCCAATTGGACGAGAACCTTCCAAGCTCACTGCCATATTAAGAACACAACCAGCACGCTCTAAGCTCCAAGGAGGTGTATCGCTCCAGCCACCAACAAAATCTACTCGAACCGGTAACTCAACTTTGATTGTTTTTGGACAAAAAAGCTGACCCATGGAGCCAACATGGTTATTGTTCCCGAAGGCCTTAGTAGACTTGCTCCCACTTGACTCCAACAATTGTTCTAAACCAAGGACAAAGATGAAAGGGAAATGGCAATTGATAAATACAGAGGACAATACGTACAAAATCCAATTTACAAACATTTCCCAAATAATAATCAAGGCAAATTCAGTTGATATTTTACCTCCAAAACCGTATCTGACGGCTGAAGCAGTTTCGTCAGCAACTGCAGCCCATACTTTGTGCTCTGAGTGACAAGCTTTTGTTTCCTCTCCACATGCTCGGAGAAGATCAACTTGTACCTGATATGCCCGGCTTTTCGGAAGAATCTTAGAATTCTTGTCAATAAATTTGGGACAGAGAGCTAGGAAGTCCTTGCATATTTCGACTCCGGAAATCTCATTTTCTAGAATTTCTTCACACAACTGAGATAAATTGCGCCCTAGCATGCCATAGTTAACGCAAGCCTTCGCAATTCCAGCTGCAAGATCTGCTTGATGAATACTTGATCCAGTGCACATTTTGGAGAAGTCGATTGATCTATGCAACTCGTCGAAACTGACTCGTGGCGATTTTCTCCACAAGGAAATAAAGTATTGGTTTCTTCCATCGCTCAAGCCCATCAACCACATTGCCATGCTAAGCATCTCAAAGTAAGAAAGAATGGGAAATAACTTTGCATTCCACAAGCACTTATCCTGACTGTCACTCGGGCTCCATAGATCGTTTTCCTCGATTCCTAAATCATGCATGACTTGATCCCAAGGTTTACCACAAAATGTACCATCCTTGGTAAGAGGATTTTTCGGGTTATCATGGATGCCGCAAAACACAATCACTGTTTCAGTACGTCCTACCAAAGGAACTTCCCAAAGACAATGGCGGTCAGGAAGCATGAACTTCACTAAACTATCTACCTTATTATCACTGTCCTTTGGAACATGAAGACCAACAACTATAGACAGGGAACCAATCTGGATTCCACCGGAAATGTTTGAGTCGTATATTAGAGAATCTTCACCGATTGAGACGCCATCGTCAATTTTGCAAGAAAGAACAACAGCAGATGCAGCAATGTCTGACACAGTGGTTGCCGGAATAGAACACAAGTGTCTTCGACCTACAAGTGCTGAATCGGATGCATTAAGGTGATCCAAAACTTCGCTTGAAGTTCCAAAATGTAAAAACAACAAATCATCTGTAATGGAAAAATGAAAAGGGGGTATCATGAATAAACTAAATCACATAAATATCAGCAAGGTAAGAAACTGAGAACTGTAGGAAGATTTCGATGATTTAAAGACTGTTTATCGTCTAACATACATGCACAATAGCTGAACATCCTTTGTTTTCCCAGTTTGCCAACCAATGCTTCACCCAAGGGGCGATGCCTTAACCACTCATGCTTTCTAGGTACCCAGGCTGCCACAAGATCTTCATACAAACTCATCTGCATAAAGATGAATCCAAAGCTTAACATGTAAGATTTTCTAAACCGACATATGGAATTCAATCAATATTTTCTTTTCAATTTCCAACAGAATCTTATAGTTCAATACAGCCTGGATTGACAACAAAATTAGATGCCAATACAAGTATTAGTAGCTTGCCTCTTTTTTGCTTTTCAGAAGCTCGGAAATCAATGGTTGGCAAGAACAAGCAAGCTTGACAAGCTCCACCCATGCATTGCCTCTAACAGCTATAATTCCGGTGTCGAGCAATGCTCTACCGTCATCCAAGATCGCCTGATTCTTAACAAGCTCATCTACACTAGGCTTCTGAAGGAGGTTGTCAACTAAACTGACCGTGTAACTTTCCTCAAGAATCTCAGTTTTAGATGCCACAATGACTCCATGGTTAGAAGCTATATCAAGAGTTATAGGCACAGTAATAATGGTGGACGCATCAGGTGAAAGAATCAAAGTGGAGGAGGCATCAAAACATGGGAGCACATCTCCAGTCATAGTAAATATTCCACCTAAACAAGACAAAAAAGTGTATACAAACACAAATTACTACCAACAGATTCTTTTAACTATAGTAATCGACATGATTGCTTATTTTTTTTTTCCATTTTACCAATTTTAAAGTAAAACAAAACTGAAACCAAGGATTTCCCAGAATTTTTACCTTCATTTTTGAAAGCTTGCCGTGCACAAGAAGCAATTGCAAGAATATGATCGAACAGCAACGGAACGGGACCGTCAGGGTTATCAGCAGCCAAGAAAGGGAGTGGCAAAAAGACTTTACCCATCGGATTCGCCCACGGAACCCTTTTAGAATCCCCGCCAGCATGAAGCAACAAAATATGCTTTTTACCCATCAAACTAACAACATTATCTCCACAACTCCCACCGTTGATAGCTTGGTCCATATATTGAGCGAGTGCGTGAATGGCGTTGAGCGTGGCAGCCCCAGATCCGATCCGTTGACCGTCGGGATCGGGAACGGCGAGGGTGATGGTGGAGGGAGCAATCCGATCCATTCGCTTGGCCCGTTTGAGCTGCCAGTCGTAGAGTCGGGCTTGTTCGGGGCTAGCGGCCGTCAAAACAATGGCGTCCCATGTGGGAACCCTAGCTGGGTGGCGCACCGACAACCTTAAATGGTACCATGATTTACGAAGAATGGCAATTAAGTCAGATTTCCGTTTGGTTCTGGAGAATACTCTCTGTCGGTTGGGTTCCATTTCGGATGACTGGGTTATTAAATTGACGAATTACAGTGGTTTCTGGAGATAAGGAGTGGAAGAAGTGTGGACTGAGAATGGGATTAATGAAGATGGAAAGGAATATATAACCAATACTTAACCATGTTGTTTTGAAAGACAAATGAAGAAGAAGAAGAAGAAGAAGAAGAAAAAGAGTTAACGATCGATCATGTGTTTTTCTGGTCTTACCATCGATTAAATTGAAAATAAAAAAGGGTGGAAAAACATAAAGATAAATATAACTGGCGTCGCCCGGACTCGAACCGGAGACCTTCAGTGTGTTAGACTGACGTGATAACCAACTACACCACGACACCTTACTGATAACCCTACAAGAGATGAGTAAAATGTACACTTAATTATCTTTGTTGATCAGGGACCAATAAATCATTAAACTCTATTTTTTCTAGTAAAGGAGTACTATTAAAGGCCTCATTAAACCTCTTAATCCTAGTTAGAGGAAAAGAGTACCTTTGATAGTATTACAATAATTCAAACGAGACAGACTCGAGCCGAAGACGCAGCAAAAGAACCAAACAAACTGAAAAACAGACAACCTAGCTGAAATCAACTAATCCTGTCATCATGCGCATAAGCACAATTAGTGGGTTCTCCATTTATAGCATCAGCAATCAACATATCTTGAACTTCTTGTGGAGGTTGGTTGTATATGGTAGCATCAAGATTATCCATACATATAATCTTAGAAAGTTTGTTTGCCACAGCATTACCAGTGCGTCTAACATGGGAAAAGCTTACCTCCCGTTGTTTTCTCTTCAGTTCTTGGATGAAGGACAAGATCGTTGGACCGCCATGGAAGTCTTTCGATCCCTTCACCATTTAAATAGCTCTCAAACCACACGTCGAATATCCAAGTCCATGCTATACACGTACCAACGTAAATACCCCATTACTCCGCTTCTAAAATCGAGCACACTCCAATTAACTTAGAAAATCCCCTGCGCCATTGGCCGTTATGATCGCGAATGACGCCTCCATAAGAAGCCTTGCTATTATTCGGTTCACTGCTCCATCGACGTTCAATTTAAACCAACCCTCACATGGAGAACTCCGTTTATTCGAACCAGTATCAGTCCCGACTCCTCTGTATAGAAGCAAGGAGGTAATTGCTGCGTTCCATAATTGAAAACTCATTCATTCCATCAATATCAAAAATCGTCCTAGCTCTCCAAAGGTTCCAAAAAATTGCTCCGAAGAGAAGATCCCAATCGTGCGGAGACTCTGCAAATTCAGCTCCCAACGTAATGTTTGCACCGAACCAATCACGAAACTCCATATTCAGAAATTCTGAAACTTTATTTGCCTTGATAATATCAGTCCAAACAGCAAGGGCAGGAGTACACTCAAATGAACTCTTCAATCACCAATAGAAATATAATTAAACTTAGAAGTTTCTACGTGGACGTTGATGATTAAAAAATATGTTGTTTTCATAATACGCCTTCGGCCTCTTGTGCGCCATATGGTTTGCTATTTTGAATTCCATGCGCTTCGACAAAGAAGAGACTTGAAGCTGAGATTTCGTTGTTGAAGAATGATCACAACTAGTACACTCAAAGCAAACAGCATTTATCCAAACCATTATATATACTAATTCTAGTTTGATCTAAGCTACAAATCAAGCAAACTATCCGCACATTAATCTCAACTAAGACCGGGTATTACTGTTAATTCTAGCTTGATCTAAGCTAGCTACAATGATCGTACTAAACATATAATGGGAAAGAAAAGAAAATGCTAATTCATTCTTCTACAAGACACGTTCACAGCTAGGGATAGAGCCACAGAATACTCGAGAACATTGATCCATGTAATGCCCTTCTACGTTCGGGACCTTTGAACAGGTGATCGGCTGCAAATTCAACAAACACAAAAGGATATTATTACATGTGGAATAATAAATTAATAGTTTCAAGCATGATATAAAGGCCTAGATGACATCTCCATAAAGGATAATTGAACAAGAAACAGAAAATATATGGCATTAATCACTACCTGCGGAATCTGTCATACTCGGGACTCCGGTGCCTGTCATAGCGGTCGTAAACAGGACTACGTGCCCTACCATAATCAGGGCTTGGACACCTGCGGTATGCAGGGCTCGGGGACCTCCCGTATGGACTATCCCCACCACCTCCTCTTCTAGGGCTACCATATCTGTCATCCCTCTCATCATCATCCCTTAAAGCATATTCAACAGACACAACTCTGTCCAGTAACTTGCTGTGAAGGCATACACAGTACTTTAGAAGCAATACCACCGACCACAAAAACAATTTAGATAAAAGAGTATATTATACCTCCTTTGCGTAGCTTCAAGGGCTTTAGTAGCTTCCTCTTGTGTGGCAAACTGCACAAACGCGAAGTTCCGCCCAATGCGAACATGAATAACCTTCCCATATGGCTCAAAGTGCCTCAGTATATCACGATCCCTAGTACGGATCGGATCAAAGTTGATAACAAACAAGGTTTTGGTGGGCCTCTGATTTGTAACTGACCTAGAACCATCACGATGCTGACCATGTTCACCCTGTCAAAAAAAATCACCGTTTTCAGAAATTACTGCTTTCATTCGCATTAAAACACATAACTAGCATCTGTAGAAAGAAGTAACTCAGAAAGAACAATAACACACTTTAGCCCACTCCACAGACAGCCGTCGTCGATTATAGCCAAAAGTAATATTATCAAGTCCTCGTATAGCATCTTCAGCATCACGTTCTTCCTCAAAATAAACCAATGGCAAATCCTGCAATATGAACTCAAATTAGTTGCACAAGTGATAAGTTTTCGCAATTGGTGCTATAACTGCACTGCACACATAGTGGTACATTATCAGCCAAAGCACATGATTTTTTTTCACTTCAAGAACTAGAAAAAATATACAACACCTGCATAAATGTGAAGCAGGGCTGATGCACATAAGGATGTAGAAGTGTTGCATGATGAACTTAATCAAGATGGTGTGACATATTAAAGGTTAAAATCCAAGTTTTCATGTCTGATACGTCATTGCAAAGCATGCTTGGCGATTCAGATAGCGGGAGTTCAGAAATAGAAAGCTTGACATGAGAGAATTCAGTGATCTTCTATAATCAGTGGTAGTAGGCATGGCACCATAATTCGATTAATCCCCACCAGCCAGTGAGGAGGGTGAAGTGAGTAACAATATGGAGAGAAGAAAATGCAGGATGATGCCATCTGCGAGTGGCCCTTAGAAGAAGTTCCAGCGTCAAAACAAACACTTAATATGGAGATTTACTCTAATAAAATTAAAAGCCTAAGGGTGCGATTCTATTTTTTTCCCGGAAACTGCTATCGGATTAACAGACCAACTTTTTGCTGCATAACTACAAGTACATACACAGGGCTACCACTCAACAAATCGAAGCTAACTCTTCACAGTGTCAGTTAAGACTTATTAATGAAAAATACGTGATACAAATCAACTAGAACTCAGCTATCGGTCAAAAGGTAAAGAATTAAACGAGTTGAACTTAATTTCATGAAAACTTAGCCACTATCAACATAAGAAACAATTTAGCAAATTGGTTAAGATCAGCCAAACATCAACAAAATACACAAGGGGACGAAGCACCCCAAACAAATAATTTCAGATTCAGACAGACTTCAACTCAATCAACACACAATTTAAAGCAAAAGCAACACCAAATTCAATTAGCTAATTGAACAGTGAACTGCAAACCAGGGTACATTCAGTGTTTTCATATATTACCGGATTTCATGTCAACCCGCTCGATCCTTCCGTACTTTGAAAACAAACGTTCCAGCTCCGACTGTCGAGTCTCGTACTCGAAGTTCCCTACAAACACAGGCCTCATTTTTCCACCGAAGGAATAGCGCCTTTGTCCTTAAAAGAAACCTGCAGCAAAGTGAAAAGAAGGAGATTACCACTACCTTTCATCTCTAAAGCATACAATAAACAGAGCCACTTTTAAGGGAACCAAACTAAATAATTATGGAGAGTACCTTGCCAAAAGTCTAACTTCACCAATGCTTCAAGACTTATTTAAATACTCTTTGGATGAATTCTAAACTTTGGAAATCATATTGAAATTAATAGAGCCGTTGTAATGTGTTTTTCACTTCAAAAAACTGCTCGGAGTGTAGGGGTATGAATTCTAAACGTTAGAAATTATATTGGAGTCAATAGAGCCGTTGTAGTGTATTTTCCACATCAAAAAACTGTTGAGAGCGTATGGGTATTAGTACTCCACTCATGGGGTATCATATTATATGTCATAAATTTAAATATTTGACCGTTGGAAGTTCAATGGTATCAATACCTTCAAAGGAGTATAGTAGTATCGATACTGAAACGTGGTATCGGTATTATTTTTGCATTTTATTAAAATTCGGAGTCAAAACAAAGGAGTAGTATCGGTATCGTGTTTATGGTATCGATACTACTATAAGTCATGGTATCGATACTGCTTGGCCAGTATCGATACTACCTCTTTGAAAATCCATTTTTGACTCGATTCAAGTTCTAAACACTTTGCAAAAATTATTTCAAAAATATTTTTAGTGTGAATCTCAATTCTTCATTTAATAAAGAGTAAAAATTGATATTGTAAAACTGAGTAATATTATTATTTGAATAATTAAATCGAATATAATATTTAAATCTAATATAAAATCTTAAAATTAATTTATACATTTATTTGTTATATCGAAATATCAAAATATTTTCAACAAATTATGATTAAAATAAAAATAAATTTGAAAAATTATAATTATACCCTTAAATTATATCTAATTATATCTTAAACTCTAAACCCCAAATTACAACTCCACCCACCATCACCCTTGAAAAATTCACCATTCTACCAGCTATCACCTACCCACTGGCGAATGGTCAAGCTCACCTCTGCCCCTCACTCTTTCGTTCATCTCTCACAATCCTCAATCAAACCAATCAACACAATCATGGCATCAACCATATCCAAACCTCAAACATAATAAATGACAGCAACCAATGAAGAGGAAAATAGATTACCTTGACTGAATCAACAATTCAACACCAAAACTTCAACAACAAAAGAAGGAATTAACCGTTTCACCATTTAGCAAAGAAATAAAAAAAAAGGAAAAATATATAACTTTATCTTCGGGTTTTCAAAAGGGGTAGCTCCTATGATCGAACGATAGATCTGAACGGTGAGAAGTGACGCTATGACGGAGGGATCGACATATCTCCATTTGAGCTCCATCAAATGGTTGTCGACGGAGATCAAATGCTACAAAACGAATGATTCCATTACAAATTCGTTAACATCGGGGTATTTTTCGACGAAACTAAGGGTGGATTCTTGTTCATGAGGTAAAAATCATTTGGGCTAAAAAGTTTGGAGCTCAACGGCCACCGAAAACCACTATGGAAGCCGTTGCGATCGTAGCCACCGGTGGCTCAACCCAGAAACGGTGAGAAAATGTGAGAAGTGGGTGAAAATTTTAGTTTTAGGGTTTGGGGCATATTTTAGTATTTTTAAATTTATTTTTATTATAATCTTAAATAATATTAAAATGTTAATAAAAATATGACATGCCATATAAATAATAATAAAATAATTCATGTCATCAATGAGTGACTAAAAAAGTTCAGTAAGTAAATTGAAAAATTGAAAGTACGGTGAGTGAAATATAAGAGAACCACCGTCACTCTGAGTTGACAATCTGTAATCTTAGGTATACCCTTGCCCTGAACCGAGAACCACCCCGACCTGAACTTTTACTTACCAAAATACTTAGGTGGCGTTTGTTTCGCTGAATGTTTCTGAGGGAATTGAAATCTGTGAACGAATTAGAATCTGTCAGGAATTGGAATCCAATTACATATTTTGTTTGGTTGGCATGAAATTGAATTGGAATCCAGTTCCATATTTTGTTTGGTTCGCAGACATGTCAGATGAATTTGATTTTAGTAATGTAAAATGACAGGATTGCCCTTCTTCTTTTTTTGCTTAATTTTAGTTTGTTTTATAAATTAAATATAGCAATATATTATAAAAATTAAAAAAAAAATTATTGATTGATTATTCATTTCAATAAATTATAAAAATCATGCTAATAAACATCATAAGTTAAAATCATCTCAATTAGGGATGGCCATGGGTCGGGTCGGGTGGGTTGGGTCGGGTTATTGGTCCACCCGACCCGACCCGACCCGAGAACAAGGGAACCTCCATCCGAGACCCGACACGACCAAAATAAAGTTTCACCCGACCCAACCCGAATATATGAATTAGAAACCCGACTTGACCCGAAATAATAAAAAAATATTTTTATTCAATAAAAATAGTGACTTAATTGAAAAAATATATATAGAAAAGGGTATTATTGTAATTATTCCTAAATATATAAGGTAAAATTATATATTTTTTGGGTCGGGTATTTTTCACCCTAAACCCGAACTCGACCCGACTCGAATATTACACTTAAAAAAACCGACCCGACCCGACCCGAATATATGAATTAGAAACCCGACCCGAAATAATAAAATTTTATTTTTATTCAATAAAAACAGTGACATAATTGAAAAAATTTATATATAGAGGGGTATTATTGTAATTATTCCTAAATATATAAGGTAAAATTATATATATTTTCGGGTCGAGTATTTTTCACCCTAAACCCGAACCCGACTCGACCCGAATATCACACTTAAAAAAACCGACCCAACCCGACCAAAATAAAGTTTCACCCGACCCGACCTGAATATATGAATTAGAAACCCAACCCGAAATAATAATAAAATATTTTATTCAATATATGAATAAGTTACCAAAAGATTGATGAGAGTAGTATGGTTAAATTTCAATTCCGTCCAATAAGGGAATTGAATTCCATCATAGAATGGATGAAATTCACTTTCCCTCATTTGATGGAAGTTGAATCCATGAGGGATTCAATTCCCTTGGAAAACTTGAACCAAACATGAGAAAGTGGTAGAATTCCGTCCAATAAGGGAATTGAATTCCATCATAGAATGGATGAAATTCACTTTCCCTCATTTGATGGAAAGTTGAATCCATGAGGGATTCCAATTCCCTTGGAAAACTTGAACCAAACATGGAAAAGTGGCGGAATTGGATTTCAATTCCCCCTAATTCCAAGGGATTCATTCGAACCAAACGTCACCTTAAGTAGAAGCATTCAATTAACATCCACTTAAAAGTGACACGTTATCTAACTATGCACTAAAAAGAGAAAAACAAAGAATAATAGAAGAGAAAATAACCTCAGTGACCAAAAATGCCTTATAATATACGATTTTAACCAACTTTTTTTGGATTTGCCAAAATGACCAACTAAATCGTAATGCGATCGATAATTCGCAACGCGATCTCCGTATCGCAAATCAGTTTCAGATTCGCAACGCGAACTTCGACTATCGTATTGCGATTTACATATTCGCATTGCAATAGTCCAAGTTCGTGTTGCGATAGTCGAAGTTCGCGTTGCGATTTTCCAAATTCGTTGCGATAGTCGAAGTTCGCGTTGCGATTTATTCCAAATTCGTTGCGATAGTCCAAGTTCGCATTGCGATTTATTCCAAGTTCGTTGCGATAGTCGAAGTTTGCGTTGCGATTTATTCCAAATTCGTTGCGATAGTCGAAGTTTGCGTTGCGATTTATTCCCAATTCATTGCGATAGTCCAAGTTCGCGTTGCGATTTATTCCAAGTTCGTTGCGATAGTCGAAGTTCGCGTTGCGATTTATTCCAAATTCGTTGCGATAGTCGAAGTTCGCGTTGCGATTTATTCCAAATTCGTTGCGATAGTCGAAGTTCGCGTTGCGATTTATTCCAAATTCGTTGCGATAGTCGAAGTTCGCGTTGCGATTTATTCCAAATTCGTTGCGATAGTCGAAGTTCACGTTGCGATTTATTCCAAATTCGTTGCGATAGTCGAAGTTCGCGTTGCGAATTTGGAAAATCGCAACGCGAACTTCGACTATCGCAACGCGAACTTGGAGTATCGCAATGCGAATATGTAAATCGCATTGCGATAGTCGAAGTTCGCGTTGCGAATCTGGAAACTGATTTGCGATACCGGAAATCGCATTGCGAATTATCGATCGCATTGCGATTTAGTTGATCATTTTGGCAAATCAAAAAAAGTTGGTTAAAATCGTATATTATAAGGCATTTTTGGTCACTGAGGTTATTTTCTCATAATAGAAATGCCTAGGTCTAAAATCATTACATCACAAGACATTGATCATCAGTTGATTCCCAGACGCACCACTAAGACATTAATGTTCAATATCCTGGGTTTCCCTGATTTGTCGATCAGTCGTATAAAAAAAAGGACATATGTTCTTGCTTCTGTATTAATGGCGAAGCTTCTTTTTTTTTCACCTATGAGGGCAACAAGAAGAATACGGCATATATGATTTGGTTTAGGGTCTTCACTTTAATATATAGATGATCCATACTTTTTATATGATTCGGTTTAGGGTTTTCACTTTAATTTTTAGAGAATTTTCACTTTGATTATTGAAATAGATTTTTGGTATACAAATTATTAGTTTTGGTCCATTTTAATATTTAAACTTTTATTTTTTTAAATCATACTTAAATTTAGTTTTTGTTTCATTTTGCTGTCCGTTCAAAATTTAACGTCAAATTTTGAAAAAATTAAAAGTTTAGGTATTAAAACAAACAAAAACTGATAGTTTAAATATTAAACGTGTTAAGTACTAAAACATACCATAACTGATAGTTTATGTATTAAATGCGTAATTTACCCAAAAATCAACCATATAAAACCTGTGTTTAGTAATAAATACATACTAACGACGCCTATATAAAAATAGCAGCCACTCTCATTCGTTTTACTACCAAAATAAAATTAAAAAAAAAGGCAGCGTCTTTGGTTTTCCAATTATTAGCGTACTTCCAACTAAGCTACCGACACAATGAGAAGTGACATAGTGTCTGGTTCTTTGCCCTAGCATCCAAATGCCGAGCTTTTTCTCAAGAAAACATGGCATGGTCAATTTTGATTATAGCTCTTGGCTGGCTAGTTATGGCCCTAGTCTACTGGTTTCACCCCGGTGGTCCAGCTTGGGGCAAATATAGGTTCAAAAAATGTGCCACCCTCTCTGTTTCTAACAAGCCGATACCGGGTCCGAGAGGGTTGCCTTTAATCGGTAGCATGAACCTCATGGCTAGCTCACTAGCGGACCACAAAATTGAAGCCGCAGCCGAAACATGCAAGGCCAAGAGGCTCATGGCATTCAGCCTCGGTGATACACGAGTTATCGTGACGTGCAATCCCGATGTAGCGAGAGAGATTCTCAGCAGCTCTGTTTTTTCCGATTGTCCGGTCATAGAATCGGCTTACAGCTTGATGTTCAACAGAGCAATCGGGTTCGCTCCTTACAGAGTTTACTGGCGAACACTTAGAAGGATCGCGGCTACCCACCTTTTTAGCCCCAAGCAAATCAAGGGTTCCGAGGAGCAGAGACGCTTGATTGCCTCTGAAATGGTGACCTTGTTTGCTAATCACCATAGCCGAAGTATTAGAAAACTAATTTCAATGGTGTATTTACACAGGAAAAGGATGATCTTTCATATCAACAAGTACACCAATTTATAAGAGATACAATGCTCATCAGCTTTCCTCTAACTGCCTAACAACTCCAGCTAACCACTTAACAGACTAACTGCTTAATACATGTGCATATTTCTTTAACAACAATACACGTGCATGTTCTTTAACAGTCTAACATTCTTCCTACTTTCTAAACCTTCTTGATGAAAAGATGAACAATTGAATCGAAAGTGCGGATGCTTCCTTCCGTTCACTTTGAATCGAAAGTGCCGATGCTTCCTTTCGTTCTTCTTGAATCGAAAGTACGGATGCTTCCTTCCATTCACTTTGAATCGAAAGTGCCGATGCTTCCTTTCGTTCTTCTTGAATCGAAAGTGCCGATGCTTCCTTTCGTTCACTTTGAATCGAAAGTGTTGATGCTTCCTTTCGTTCTTCTTATTCACCTTCATTTATTTCTTCTTCATCCTCTTATACAAGGATCTTGACAGACTAAAACTACTTGATATGAAGAATTTGAACAACTGACGAATATATTTTTTGTCCTCCTGTTTGAGCTAACAAAGCCCACATTTTCCTTCTTTCATCTGGAATTCCTTCAGGAATCAAAACCTTTTTATTTTAGCGTACTCGTTCATATGAAGTTGCCGCACTTGAATCCGGTGTGGCACCAGTCCACAAACTGAATGGTGCGCTTGGTCTTGATGGTGGCAATGACAACGTTGATGTCTTTGGGCATGAAATCACCACGGTACATCAAACAACAAGCTATGTACTTGCCATGACGAGGGTTGCACTTGACCATCATAGAAGAGGGTTCAAAAACACTGTTGGTAATTTCAACAGCTGATAGTTGCTCATGGTAAGCCTTCTCGGCAGAGATGACTGGAGCATAAGACGAAAGCATGAAGTGGATTCTTGGGTAGGGGACCAAGTTGGTCTGGAACTCGATTACATCGACGTTCAATGCACCATTGAACTTTAGTGAAGTAGTCAAAGAGGAGATCACCTGAGAGACAAGACGATTAACATTGGTGTAAGTGGGTCGCTCGACGTCGAGAGAGCACCTGCAAATGTCGTAGATGGCCTCATTGTAAAGAAGAACAGATACATCGGTGTGCTCCAAAAGAGAGTGAGCCGAGAGAACATTGTTGTAGGGCTCAACAACAGAAGTAAAGACTTGAGGAGATGGGTAGACAGCGAAACCTAGCTTGGATTTCTTGCTGTAATCAACGGACAGACGCACCCGAAAGAGAGAACCAAGACCAGAACCAGTGCAGTTATCAGCGAGCTTTCTGATACGGTCTAAGCACAAGTTGACGATCTCCTTGCCAATTGAATAGTGGCCACAAGCAAAGTTTCTGGCAGCATCTTTCTTGCCGCTAATGAGTTGCTCGAGAATAGCGAGGCCGATTGAATAAGAACACCAACAAAGCGGAAGAGAAATGGTCACAATATCATAGTTGAATGATTTCATCCGTTCTACTGAAACAAATCAGACACCAGCAACATCATTGAAACATTTGGTCGAACAGATTGGAAGCATGCACACCGAACAGGAACAGAGATAGAAGATGAATTGAGAAGATTCCCAGTAACTATGATGACGACAACGATAAACCACATGTACCGTAGCAGATAAAGCAATCAAGAACAGCGGTTGAGAAGATCAATCACCGACGAGAAAATATTACCAGGATCACCGAGGAGAATGGAAGCAACTAGGAGCAGAAGCAACAGAACAACGAAAACAAAACTGAAGTTCGGAAAAAAAATCTACAAACTATGCCGTAGTAACGGCAGGAGAGTAAAGGAATTCAATCGGCGCAACGGCGGAAGCGACAATGACGCCAGGATCTTTTAGCGAATGATACCATATTAGAAAACTAATTTCAATGGTGTATTTACACAGGAAAAGGATGATCTTTCATATCAACAAGTACACCAATTTATAAGAGATACAATGCTCATCAGCTTTCCTCTAACTGCCTAACAACTCCAGCTAACCACTTAACAGACTAACTGCTTAATACATGTGCATATTTCTTTAACAGCAATACACGTGCATGTTCTTTAACAGTCTAACACGAAGCTTCCACGTTCGCGACGTGCTGAAACGAGCCTCGCTAAACAACATGATGGCTTCGATTTTCGGATGGAAGTATAAGTTAGACTGTGCCGATAATGAAGTCGAAGAGCTGCGAGCTCTGGTTGATGAAGGATATGATTTATTAGGGACATTGAATTGGTCTGACCATCTCCCTTGGCTAGCCGAATTCGACCCTAAAAAATCAGAGCCAGATGCTCAAGCCTTGTACCTAAAGTTAACCGATTCGTCAGCCGAATAATATCCCAGCACAAGGCTCAAACAAACGAGAAAGCTCGGGATTTCGTCGACGTGTTGCTTTTTCTCCAAGGTACCGATAAATTATCAGACTCCAACATGATTGCCGTTTTGTGGGTAAGTTATCAACTTTCATGATTTCAAGTTATTTCTTCCCGTACTATAGGTGCTAAATATTGTCATTTGTCTCTGTGTAGGAAATGATATTCAGAGGAATAGATACAGTGGCGGTTTTGATCGAGTGGATATTAGCAAGGATTGTGCTTCACCCTGATGTTCAGTCAAAGGTCCATGATGAGCTTGACGAAGTCGTCGGTAGATCAAGAGCCGTTGATGAGTCTGATGTAATGAACTTGAATTAGCGGCTGTGATCAAGGAGGTTCTAAGGCTTCATCCACCGGGGCCATTGCTCTCCTGGGCCCTTCTTGCTATCACCGATACAACCGTCGATGGGTACCACGTCCCGAAGGGGACCACGGCAATGGTGAACATGTGGGCCATCTCAAGAGACCCGCAAGAGTGGGCGGATCCACTTGAATTCATACCCGACAGATTTGTTGCTAAACAAGGCGAGGTGTAGTTTTCCGTACTTGGTTCAGATCTCAGGCTGGCTCCATTCGGGTCGGGCAGGCGATCGTGCCCCGGAAAGAACTTGGGGTTGACGATCGTCAACTTTTGGGCGGCGACCTTTTGCACGAGTTCGAGTGGCTGCCGTCCGATCAGAATCCCGTTGACTTGTCGGAGGTTTTAAAGTTGTCGTGTGAGATGGCTAGTCCTTTGAGTGTCGAAGTTCACCCTAGGCGTATACGTTAAGCTCGTCTTACAAACATTAGTCACATAGAAAATGAGATACTAAGACAAGCAGAAATGGAGAATGATCCAACACATATATGTTGTCCCTATATTTCAGCCACTGTACTGTAAATACGAGTGATGACTATGAGAGAGCTTGTAATACAAAGCTCCCTAGTATTTATTAATTATTACTCTCTTCCCCGTTTTTTACTACGTTGTAATTACAAGTCTACTTGAATGAGCAGTGGAAATGGCATGTGTCCCTGTTTCAGCGTATCGAAGCCTTGACTGAAGGTCTCCTAAGCCCTTACCTGCCCCTAATTTTAGAGTATACCCCAATGGCCAGTTCTATATCCCGGCCAAAAGTGGCAACTACCAGGGAAGCTGAAGTTGGATTTTATAATATGGATCAAGTGAATTCATATGTTCTCAGACCCTAAAATCTAGTCTTTCTTCATCTAAATTAACTGATACATAATCTAATCCCCCCTCTCCTATGCCCCATAGGATGAAGATTATTTACATACATTTTCCTCCATACTTCATTTCCATTACTTCATTCGTTCAAGACCAAAAATCCCACCACTGATACCCACTGCCGGACGGATCAAAGAGAGCATCAGATTCGAAACCGTGCCAGTCTTCCGGTGATGTTAAGGCACCATCAGCTGGTTCCACTATGCTTATAAGTTCAGGCTCTTCTTCTAGTATGAAATAGCCACTATCATCATCGGACAACACTCCGACTGCATGTTCCGATCTTTCCATTGAAAAGCTCAGCTTGTCGTCAACTTGCCCAATACATTGCTCTTCCTCTTTCGGCTTCTTAAGCAAATTGTTCAGCTTCTGCAACTGTTGCTCAAAGAAAGGAACTTCATTAGCGTCTTTGTAAAGAAAACCCCATTTCTTTAATCAAAGTTTAAGATGAGGTACTTGCCTGAGACAGTAAAGCCTCTTTTTCCTTCTTTAGGGCTTCGAACTTGGAGGCTAGATTGTTGTAATTGTCTTGTAGGGTGGCGTAGTCTCGTTCGAGGTCCTTGGACTTCCTTCTGGCTCTCTTGTTCTGGAACCATATGGCCACCTGCCGGGGCTGCAATCCCAAGTCTTTAGCCACCTGATACTTTTTTCGAGGATGGAGCCTGGATTCGGATTCGAATATCGATTCCAACGATCGGATTTGATCGTTGCTGAATCTTCTCTTGTTCTTGTTCTTTCTTTTGCTTCTTCTTGTTGTTGTTGTTGTGAATTCAGTCGTGCTGCAAAAAGGATATTCCATGTTCATGATCTCCTCAGTATGATCAGCAGGAAATCTTGGAGCCTTCATGTATGATTATCACGACCACTATTACTGAAACAAAAACAGAGGTGGAAAAGGGAATGTTTTACATAGCATTTAAAGCGCCTTCCATATACCTATATATGCCCCATTTCTATAGGTTATGAATAACTGATCACGTGGGTAGTAAAAAAATTATTATTAAGTTGATATCTTACGAATATGGTAAATGTTAAAGATATAAATTTTTAATATAAAATAATTGAGAGTTATCTTTAAATATATTTTATTTTATATTTATCTATTTTTTATCATTTTAATTTTTAAGGTTTCATCTTATTAATTCAAATCAATTCAGATCGTATACTAATTTTGATAGATGAGTCTTCCGTTAAGAATTTTTTATATTCACAAGAACTCAAACTTAAAATCTACTTAAAAGATATAAAATTACTTACTACTTAAACCAATACGTATATATACTTCCACGTGTCATCCAGTGAACCAATAGCGACTTGAACACCTGGCACCTCCGACCAGGTCAAAACCCGTATCACCTGACGTAGTCTTTCTTGTCCGGTAATTTGAGGTGACCTGTCCGTAATTTGTGGCTCAGAAAGATCGGCGTAACCTTATCGGATGTTCACCCTTAAATATCGTAGCTTAATGAAAGTCTCTGCCTGTGGGGACAAGGTTTTTTTCGAACTACAGGTGTCTGTCTTACTTGGCTTTTCCACGGGTCACTGTCTGCCTGCCACGTTGGTATGAACACAATTTTTTTATCATTTTTTATAGACCATTAGTATTAATTTTGGGTCTAAGCTAACTTGTAATAAAGATTCAATAAGAAATCGATGTGCCAACTAAAAGCTAGACGAATAAAAGTTTTCTTTAATGAACCTTTTCATTTTAATTTTTTGTTTATTTTTTTTTATATTTAATTTATTGATCGATTAATTCAGATCAAATATTATAAAGTAAGGAAGAGTGACCCTCCCAAATAAATTTACTCCATTCGTAATGGTCAAGATTCGAACATCTGACTTTTCTTAAAGAATATAGTGTTTTATTTTACTAGATCAACTTATTATTGATTTTAATTATTTATTTTTAGTTGTTTATAACATTAACTAAATACGTGACACGTTGGCATTGAAATTTACACACAAATGGTTTAGTAAATTCAGAACTTGAAAGTGAAAAGGAAACTAAAATATGATTGATATAGAAGAAGAGATTTAATATGACTTAATCATGTTAATTTTTTATAGATAATGTAACACCCTCAACCCGTACCTGACCCGAATACGAGTCTGAGATGTCACATTGCTTTTTAAATACTTTTCCTTACAAAATAACAAACATTTGAATTTATTTAAGAAAATACGATAATATATTATTAAATTATATTCGGTATAAAATTTTTGAGATAAAAATGTATTTATGAACAATATTATACGTTACGAACAGTAACCTGCTACAGTACCGTGAACAGAAACCTGCTACAGTATCCAAAATGTTAAATTTTCCAAATTACAAAAAGGGTACTGATTCCCTGCTACAGGGTATCGATACCCCTGCTACAGTATTTCCGTAAAATATATAAGACTTGTAAAAATTTCACCATTCATTACTATACATTTACATTTACATAAATACGTTTAAAACATTACAAAAGTCGATCAGAGCATACATACTAAACAACTCTATTAACATGCCAACACATATATTACATAAACGAACATACTTTGTAAAGTTCTTCTGATATGATCTTCAAAGATGGTATGTTGCGTTGATGCTCTTAAGATCGATCTTCTTACTTTTCTGTACCTACGTGTAAATCACTTACACGCTAAGTCATAGACTTAGTGAGGCATATAAATATAATAATGATACATTCCTTATGAATATGAACATGCAATCTATCCATTCAATCATATAACATGTAATTCAATATGGTAACATACAACAATAATATGCAATTACTTTGATAACATTTTATAAGCTCATGTACATTACTGAGAACTCAAGGTATTGAGTATCTTGAGGTTGTGCACTATTGTTGTCACCACAGCTCGTATAAATCTCATTGAGTGGCATATGAAATTTGTCCCGAAACCTGTGAATATGTCCCAAAGGACCTATGAGTTATCCCGGAGAACCTATGAAACCCTCGACTCTTGGCATGTCAACTATACCTATAGCTCTCATATTGTATACTATGGGCATTATTCTTATGTTTCATATGTTCATGTCATTTCTCTTGTGATCACATAGCTCATATTGTGATCACATATCTCATATCACTTATCATATCACATGTGCATTTAAATCTATTCACATATATACTTATCTATGTATCATAATAATTACCATGTATGCATGTTCATGTGCTCATGTCATTTCTCTTGTGATCACATAGCTCATATCACTTATCATATCACATGTGCATTTAAATCTATTCACATATATACCTTATCTATGTATCATAATAATTACCATGTATGCATGTTCATAACTATTATACTATAAAAATCAACATAGGAATTAGACTTATCACAAGTCTTATTCCATTGTACTATACTTATAATATGCACTCACCTTGGCCTTGCTTTCGTTGATTCAATTCTAACTCTTTGATTGTTCTGGAATATGATTACGTTTTATATCTACATAAACATAATTTTCAAGATGGTTATCAGAAGTCTAACCCTTGTAATTTGATACTAATAACTTAGACTAATTTAATGAACTAAACTTCAACTTTTCTTTTAGGGGGGTATCGATACCCTCCTTAGGGTATCGGTACCCTTATTACGTTCTGGAATTTTCACCCGAAAATTCATCAACTCATCACTCAATTTTCTCATACAAAATTCCTTCATACCACCAAACTTAACTACAACCATTTTAACTAACTTTTATCATTTCAACACTTTATTATTTCCAATACTTCATTCAAATTCTTAAACTAAGAATCATACCCAAATTTCAAACATGTTATTAATCAATTCTAACACTCCATATTCCTTAATTAACCTCTTGACAAGTCAAAAATCTTATTCAAACTTCAAAACTCATACATATCAAAATTTCATCAAAAACCCAATTTTCAAATCTATCTCTAAAACATTTATCTTGTTGTTTTAATGTCATATAAGCTTTCCTTTAGCTTATATAACATCCAAACTTCAATTTCCAAGCTAAAAATCAAAGAAACGACCAAGGTTCAGATTCTTACCTTAAGCTTGGGTGCCTCACGTTTGGGAGAAGAAGATGAGAGAATTGCTTTGGAAACTTATTTCCTTTCCATGGATCCAACGTGTTTCCCTTATATTATAAGGGAATAAAAATCTTTCAGGTTAAATGACAATTTTGCCCTTTATTTCATTTCATATTTACTAACAATCATTTTTGAACTATTCAAATATTCTACCTTAATCACCAAATTCTGAATTTTTACAATTTAGTCACTAACTCATTGTTTGGGATGTTACAGATAAAATAAAAAATAATTATTTATAATGTAGAGATCACAAAATATATAAATACATAATATGCTTTCAATGTTTTTATAAAACTTATATCCACAATCAGGGGAAGAGCTTTCTTAGGGCTCAACGGGGTTCTGAATCTTCTAAAAAAAATTATGTCGATATATTTTGATCTAAAAGTATTTTAGTTCAGGTAAAAAATATTCAAATTATAAAATATAAGAATTTATTAAATATTTGAGGCTTAAGAATAACATTTGCCCCACTCGTAGACCTCATTTATTATTTTTGCACTTATTGTATATTCATATCAATATAGCCCTCAAATTACTTAATTGCATCATTATATACTCTATTCCTAACTTAAAACCCTAAATTATAAATTTTAGTTAGGGTTTAGGGTTTAGAGGCTATGAGTTATGGTTTAGGATTTATAATTTATGATTTCAAGTTAGGAATAGGGTATAAAATGATGCAATTGAGCAACTTTGAGGACTAAACTGATGCGAAAATACGATAGAGATAAAAATGATAGGGGTCCACTACAGGGGCAAAGATGACCCTTTGCAATATTTAATCAAGTAGGGGTTTAACTAAAGAATGATAATTCAATGTTCTCAATTTTTTTGTCTAATAACAATTTAGGTCATTATAAATTTAAATATTAGACAAATTAGACATTATCTTCTATGTTTAAATACTTAGTAAGTCATTTTATTTTTCCTAAAAAATCAATATTTTGAATCCTGTCTATATTTAATATTAACTTCGTCTCTGTCCACATATAATCTCTAAAAATATACAAATTATAAAGTTATTATATTTTCTAAAATAATTATCTCTCATGATTCTAAAGTTTAAATATACTTTCTATTTATAGACTTTATTTAATAATCAATTGTTGTTCCATAAATATATTTATCAAAAAACTTAATCATTTTATAATTTTTAATCGTTAGAACTATAAAATTTTATTTAATTTCCAATTCAAATTCAAATTAATATATTAAAATATATTTAGACAAATAAAAAACTGTCAAATTTATTTACGAATTAATCAAATGTTTAAGAGACTTCATTTAAATATTTGATGTGTTAGGTGAATGGGCCTTTGTAAACCTAGTCTCCTTACTCAGCATTATAAGATGGATTATGATCTTGAATTGTTTGTTGGTGACGTGATATATAAGCTCTCTCAAGAGAGGCGTGATAGAGCACAAGGTTTTTAACCTTGAGGTCTGGGATCGAGTTTCACGGTGGGCAATTCATAATTGCTGAAGGTCTTCCACGGAAGTTACTCTCAACCTAGCGTTGGGGGCAACCTATTGCCCTACCTCCCCTTACCCGCCTACTACCCTACCTCCCCTTACCCCATTACGTATGGGAAAAAGGGTCAGCTAAAAAGAGAGGGGATGTTATAGTGGTGTTTTCATATCTATTTTCCTTTGGTCTACGTAGAAACAACAACGCGTTGGATTTTTTTTGTTAACCCAATCCAAAAATTAAATATCCTACACTTGACTCTGACTCGATTTTTTAGAGTATAAATTCGATTAGATATGACCCAATCTGGTACAAATTAAGGATTTAATTAAAATAATAATAAAATTTTTAAGAAAATTACATTATTATC